AGAGGCAGGAGACTCGCTTGAGCCCAGGAGTTGGAGATTGCTGTGAGCTGTAATGCCATGGCACTCTACCCAGGGGGACAGCTTGAGGCTCTGTCTAAAAAAAAAAGAAAAGCAACCAAAAGACCCTGAAAAAGCCCAGGCCCTGGACTTACTGGACAAAGATTTCAGGTCAACTATTTTAAGTATGTTCAAAGAACTAAAGTTAAACCACACCTAAGGAACTCATCAAATAAAGAAACAAAAATTATTAAAAAAACCCCCACTGAACTGAAATTCTAGAGTTGAAAAGTGCAGTAACTCAGATTAAAAATTCAGAGGGGCTTGAGTGCAGACTGAGCAGGGAGAAGAAGGGATCAGCAAGCACGAAGACAAAGTCAGATGAGATGACCGAGTCTGAGGAACCAAAAGAAAGAAGAAGGGATAGAAACAAATGGACCTGTGAGACCTCACCAGACACACACAAAATGGGAGTCGCAAGGAAGAAAGGAAGGACATGGAGAACACAGGAAGAACAACTGTCCTAAATCTCCATAAATTTGATGAAAAACATCTAGGAAGCTAAACAATTCCAAGGATAAAGTCAAACCGGCAAAAGCAGGGCAGTGTCCATAGCTCAGTGCTTACGGCACCAGCCACGTAACACTGAGGCTGGTGGGTTCCAACCCGGCCCGGGGCCTGCTAAACAATGACAACTACAACCAAAAAATAGCTGGGCGTGTAGTCCCTGGAAGGCTGAGGCGAGAGAATTGCTTAATCCCAAGAGTTTGAGGATGCTATGAGCTGTGATGCCACCCCACTTTACCCAGGGTGATAAAGTGAGACTCTGTCTCAAAAAAAAAAAAAAAAGAAAAAGATAGAGTCTTGAAAGATGCAGGAATAAGGAAGCCTTAATAAGATTAACAGATGATTTCTCATCAGAAACCATGAAGGTAGTGAGATGAAATATTAAAAGTGTTAAGAGAAAAAACCCCATCAGTCAAGAATTCCATATCCAGTGGAAATTAAGAGTGATTTCCCTTTCTGGGATGGCAGCATCAGGAGCTTTGTGACTGGGAGGTGCTATTCCTGGACACCTGCTAGCACTGTAACCCAGGAATAGTACCTCCCAGTAAAACAAGGAAACTTATTTTAATAAGTGTCCTAAAAGTACACAAGAAATGAAGAAACATTTACTCAATGAAACCTAATGAAACTTGGCAAGAGGAGTGAACATCTGTGGTATGTGAGCTACTCTTATGGTCACTCTGGGAGGGTGAGGCCAAGAAGGCCAGGACTCCTTCAGGTGCCAGTCAGAGCTTATAGTGTCTCATTGGGACGGGAGACTACCAGAATTTCTCATCCCTTCAACTCTGAGGTGAAGAGATTACTTCCTAGTAAATATGAGTGACCAAGAAGTCACGGCCCCTTCCTCTACCTTATCCCTAAGCCCAGAATGGAGGCTCCACCCCTGACTCTCATCACCTGCACCACAGCTTGCACGCAGGGTAGAGTATCTGTGCTGAGAGGATCAAGCCGAGACCATCAGAGGCCACTGCCTGACCTGAGTAGTAGCTCAGAGGAATTTGCCCAGAAAGAGTCCATAGGCAAGGAAACTCATATTATTTGAAAGTTCAAGCCCAAGAAACCTCTTAAAAACATTAACTCTTCTAAAATAAGGCCAGGCACGGTGGCTCAAACCTGTAATCCTAGCACTCTGGAAGGCTGAGGTGGGTGGATTGCCTGAGTTCACAGCTTCAAGATCAGCCAGAGCAACAGTGAGACACCGTCTCTAAAAACAGCTGTGCGTTGTGGCTGGTGCCTGTAATCCCACCTACTTGGGAGGCTGAGACAAGAGAATCACATGAGCCCAGGAGTTTGAGGTTGGTATGAGCTGTATGACGACACTGTACTCTAGCCAAGGTGACGAGCAACATTCTATCTTAAAAGGGGGGGTGAGTGGGTTACTTTTAATTACACCAGCATACACATAATAGCAGCACCATGAAGAGAACAAAGAACTGGAAAAAATATTTGAAGAAATAAAGCCTGAAATCTCCCTAAGTTTACTAAAAACCATGCATACGGGCTTGGCGCCTGTGGCTCAAGCCACATACACTTAAGCTGGCGGGTACCAATCCAGCCTGGGCCTGCCAAACAACAATGGCTGCAACAAAAAATAGCCAGGCGTTGTGGCGGGGGCCTGTAGTCCCAGCTACTTGGGAGGCCGGGGGAGGGGACTCACCTGGGCCCAGGGGGGGGGGGTTGCTGTGAGCGTGATGCCATGGCACTCTACCCAGGGGGACAGCTTGAGGCTCTGTCTCCAAAAAAACAAAAGAACCCACATGCATATGGTATGTTTTTTTTTTCTTTGAGACAGTTTCACTACGTTGCCCTCGGTAGAGTGCCTTCACATCATAGCTCACAGCAACCTCAAACTCTTGGGCTTAAGCAATTCTCTTGCCTCAGTCTCTTAAGTAGCTAGGACTACAGGGACCTGCCACAATGCCCGGCTAGTTTTTGGTTGTAGTTGTCATTGTTGTTCGGCAGGCCTGGGCTGGATTTGAACCCACCAGCTCTGCTGTGGTATGTGGTTGGCGCCCTAGCCACTGAGCTACAGGTGCCAAGCCAGGTATATCTTTATTTACTTCAGTCAACTTTGATTTCTTTCATTAACTGCTTTACATTTTTAGATACAGATCTCTGCATGTTTTACTGGGTTTTTACTTAACCGTTT